TGTATGAAGAATGTGATGTGCTTTTGATAATGAAAAAGAAAGAACCGCAGAGAAGACCTCGTCCATCCAAATCATACAATATTTTCTCGTGATATATTTGACTGAATTCATGGTCAGATTTAATTAATTTTAAAGTTCAAAATTTTTATTCCTCAAAAATAATTATAATTGATATAATTACATTTAAAAAATAATTATTTATTAATTTTAAATAATTTACCATACTAATTGTTTTCTTTTTTTAATAAAAACAATTATCTATTAGTTTCAAATAAGGGATATTTATCAATAAATCTCATCTCACAAACAAGTACTTCAATTAGTCTCAAGTTTTTTCTATTGATATGTTAAATCCTATTAGTGGAAAGTTCTTTCAGTGTGATCCTATTTTTTATTTCAAAAAGTTTGAGAGCACTAAAAGTAGAGCTCTACTTATGTGGCAGTAGACCACACTCATGAATGATTTGATGTATGTGTCTTTTTTTTTCTTTTTTTTTAGTGATGGTAGAGACCTCTAATTTAGGGGCTCTAAACACACCTCTAATGAAGTGGAAAAAAAAAAAAAAGACACAGCACTGACAGTGGTAGTGGGTGGGATCCACTGCCACATCACTAGTGGTACCTCTAATTAGAGGTCCCAAGCATTTTTGTTTTTTTTTTCTTGGGTTCCATGCCACATCACTAGTGCTATTGTTAAAGCTCCAAATTTAGTGGTATGAATCGTTGCTCTTTTTATTTTGGTAGTGTTTTAGACAACTATATCTTTTTATTAATGTGACAAATATGATGCAATACTCCAATGCGACACATATTAATGTGACACTCCAACAATATGACACTTCAAAAAAATTAAAAATTCTTTAATGTACTTTTTCTAAAAATGACAACGTGACAGGTATGATATGACACTCCAAAACTTTTACTCCAAAAAAAAAATTCTTAGTATATTTTTCTCAAATATGACAATGTAACGAGTATGATGTAACACTCTAAAAAAAATTAAAAACTCATTAATATACTTTTTTCAAATGTGACAACGTAACGAGTATGATGTAACACTTCAAAAAAAATAATAATTTGTTAGTGCACTTTTTTCAAACGTGACAACGTGGCGGTATGATGTGACCCTCTACAAAAAATTAAAAACTCCTTAGTGTACTTTTTCCAAACGTGACAACGTAGCTGGTATGATGTGACACTCTAAAAAAAATTAAAAACTCCTTAGTATACTTTTTCCAAACGTAACATGTAACACTCCAACGTGGTGGGTATGATGTGACACTGTAAAAAAATTAAAAACTCTTCAATGTACTTTTTACAAATGTGACACTCTAACGTAACGGGTATAATGTAACACTGAAAAACTCTTTAGTATACTTTTTTCAAATGTGACACTCTAATATGGCAGGTAAATGAGTCATTACATATCTAAAATAATTAAATGAATCACAAAAAAAAATATGAAATTATATAAATTACAAGTCTAAAATATGTGATCAATCTCCCTTTAAATAATTTACCACATCAACTACCAATTAATTCTTAATATTCATCGAATTTTGTTGGGCCATTCAAATTTAGGTGAATTTATCTTATTTTATTTTATGATCTAAGTAAAATAGCAAAAAACTTTCGCAACGCTTTTAAAATTATTTTGACTGCTTTATGTTTGTCAACATTTTTACTTTAACATTTAATTTTATTTTTATTTTTTTTAGCTCTAACCTTTCATATTTTAACTTTTTTCAATTTACTCTTAAAATTAATTTTTGTTAAAAATTAAACAAAAAATATCACGATAACTATCACATAATACAAAAAAATATATATTATTATATTAGAATTTAAATTTGTGTAAGAGGTGTGAGTTATATATAATAAAATAGTTTTATCAATATGTCATTTTTCATCTAATTTTAGATATAAGTTAACATTAGAAGTAAATTGAAAAAAATTTAAAATATAAAATATCAAAGTGAAAAAAAAAAAATTTAAATCAAAATAAAAAATGGCCAATTAGAGCACTCCCATCTCTTCCCTTATATTACCTCCTTACTCAAAATACAGAGTTTTTCAATCAAAATACATCCCCAGCAGTTCCCCTATCCAACCCCCCAAATGTAAGTATTACTACAGTGACTCTCTATTTGTAGGGAGTCACTATAGCTCTCTCATATCTGATAAATTCTTATTTTATGGGCACAAAGAGTGTCTCTCGGACGTCCCTCGAGCATCCCTCCGAATGTCCCGTGAGAGTCCTGGAGCTAAAGAAGAAAAATGTCCAAAATTAGCTTGATCGGTCGACCGCCCGATCCTCTGACTGGTCGACCACCGGGATGACCACCCCTTTGCTTTCCCCTGCTGCTACTTCTGCTATGTTGTTGTGCTCATTTGTTTTTATTATTTTATTATTAAAAAAATATTTAATTATAAAAATAATTAAAAATATTATTTTAATAGAATTTTGAAAGAATAGGAAATTTGTTGAGGGAAATATATGAAAAAGTAAGGGGTACTTACGTGTAAATCCTAATAAGTGAACTTCTTGTCTAATAGGTTCTATGAAAAAATTTTGTCATAAAAAAAGTCACTAATTGTAAGTTTTAACGACAATTTATAAAAATTATGACCAAAAAAATCACTAATTGTCAATTTTTTGCAACATATGTAAAAAATTGTCAAAAAAAAAATTTTTAGCGACAATTTTATCAAGATTTATTTTTAATAGGACTTGATGAGAATTAAGTCCAACTATTAAGACCTATTGATAGTTTACCTAAAAAGTAATTCTTAAAATAAAGAATAAATTTTTTACTAATATTTTAAGATCAAATTTGGATAATATGATAAGAATGCTCTAATAAAATGTGTAAAGTGTAATTTATCCAATTATTTTTGTAGCCAAAGCGGCATTTTGCCCGGCTTTAGTTGGCCTTCACAATTTCTACTTTCTTTTCTTTTCAGATTTCTTCTTGATAATTTTAATTTTTTAGTATTTTTAAAAATATTGTATCAAATTTTTTAGAAAAAATTAGTAATAAATTCATAACGGTTCTGCTGGGAATAGACATTTGTCAGACACTAAAAAATATTACCATCTATCTATTGAAATTTATATTTTAACTTATCTATTTGATTTTTCTTTATCTATATAATTTTTTAAATTTAGGGGTTATTTGGTTTTGGTTTTTTTAGTTAGTTTCTTGACTTTTTTGACTTTTTTAGTCTGGAACTTTTTTGACTGTTTGATATTTTTATTTAGCTTTTTTGACTTTTTGACTTTGAAATGACAAAATTGCCCTCTACTTGGAAATGATACTTTTTTGACTTTTTGATTTTATATGGATTAGTTTAGTAATTTTGTAACTTTTTTGTCTTTTTGTGATTTTGTAGCTTTTTTTTTATCTTTTGTGATTATATAGCCTAGCAAGAAAACGAAACTAAGGCTTATCTATTTAAATTTTTTCTTATCTATTGTAATTCATCAAATCTATTTTTTTTTTATCTATTGAAATTTACTGAACTTATTTTTTTTATTCGTTGAAATTTACTGCGTCTATTTTATCTATTACAAATTTTTATTTGCACAAGTTGATTTCACAAACTCTCTCACTTCCCCCGCTTTGGATTCAATTGAATTATTAAGGTGAAACTCATTTCCGTCGTCGCTGGAAACCTCTTCCATCTCGAATCTACCACAACCTCGACAAATCCAAAGCCAAAAGCCCGATGCATCGTCGACGTCATCTCTATTGTCCGAGAATGGTACGAAGATAGTGAAGACGATAGTGGAGGTGGTACAATGGATGTGAGGGTTATGGGGAAAATGAGGAGGTCAGTGGACTTGAAGCGGTTGAAAGGAGATGATGGGTTGAAGAGACAACAATAATGACAAGATCAGGAAGGTGGTAGACCGGCCAGGTTGGTTTTCAAGGAATCGAACCATCATCATCGGCAGCCGTAAACAAACTACCAGATCTGGGCATATCCACCATCGCTACTAACTATGGCAGCGACGACGATGGTGGAGAAGAAGAAGAAAAAGACAACAACAGTAATGAAATCAAGAAGGAAAGATAGCGGTGGCGATGGCAGGGTCAATAGCGGACAACAAAGGAGGAGGTGTTGCATTAACCATCATTTCGATCGAGAGTAGGGCCAGCCCTGCCCTAAGGCAGGTAAGGCTTGTGCCTTAGGCCCCAAATTTTGGCCCAAAAATAGGGCCCCCAAATTTAAAAATTTGTTATAGGCCCAACCTTTTTTTTTCTTTTCTTTTTGGTTTTAAGATCAATTTAAAGGGCCCCAAATGTTTTATTGGGCCCATGTATAATTTAGCCCACATTTATTTATAAATATGTTTGGCCCATATTTATTAAAATGAAAATATATAAATAAAAAAAAAACAAAAACTGAAAATGTGTTTGGGCCCAACCCAAAGCATACATAGAAATACAATATACAATACATGTCCAGTGCACTGCTAGTGTGGTGAGTGCTTCTGTTTTCCATCTCTCTTTAACGAAACGAAGTGATGAAATGAAATGAAAGACTTTTATGTACACCAACTTGAAGGCAGGCAGACACAGAGCATAGCATAGCACATTGTGAGCGACTCACTCTCCCTCTTTCACACACTCCTCCTCTAGCGATTCACTCTCTCTCACACACACTCTCTCTCATGTAAGTCCTCTCTCTCACTATCAGATTTTATTAAATAAAGTTGCCCTAATTTTTTTTTATATTCTTTCTCTATCAATTAGTGGAATAATTAATTTGCCCTAATTTTTTTATTACCTTCTTTATCCATTAGATTTTAGTGGAATAAATAATTTAGCCCTAATTTTTTTACCTAGGTATTTATCAGTTTTAATTGAATAATTTGTTTGCCCTAATTTTGTTTCATTAAATTATTTTTTTATAATTTATTTGCTATCATATCAGTGGATTGTGATTTATGGATTTAAGTGTTTTTGTGGATTGAAGTGTTTGTGATTATAGCCATGTTTCCTAGGAAGTATAGTTCTGGAAAAGAAAAGAGAAAGAAGAGGATGAAAGTAGAACAATTAATTCAATCTCAGTTGGGAGCACTTGATAAATATTTTGGTACCAAGAAACAAGTAGAAATTTTAGGTTCAAATGACAATGATGATGAAGATTTGGTAATTGAAGAACCTAATCATTGTGTGAACAATAATAAGAATGATGATTTGGTGATTGAACAACCTAGTGAACATATGAATGAGAATGAGAATGAGAATGAGAATGAAGATTTGGGAAATGTAGAATCTAGTGAAAGTGAAGATGTCAATGTTGAATGTGGACCTCTAAACATTTATGACCCTAGTAATTGGGACAGGATTGATCAAAATTTAAGGAATTTACTAGTTGAAAGAGGTCCTATAAGAGGTAATGGTGTGAATTTTCCCCTAGATGACAAAGATAGGCATTTTTCTTCTACATTTTACATGCGGCAATTACAAAATGAAGAGACGCAGGATAGGAAGTGGCTAGTATATTCAGATGCTTCAGACAAAGTGTTTTTCTTTTGTTGCAAGTTGTTTAAGCAAGATGGGAACAATATTCATTTGGCTACTAATGGATTGAAAGATTGGAAGAATATGGGCAACAGGCTTAGAAGTCATGAAACTAGTAATGAGCACTTTATCTGCATGAGCAAATGGGTTGAATTGGAAAGTAGATTGAAGAAGAATGAAACAATTGATAGAAGTGTTCAAGAACAAATCAACAAAGAGAGGGAACACTGGAGACAAGTGTTACTAAGGATAATTGCTATTGTGATCACTCTTGCTAAAAATAATTTAGCTTTTCGTGGAGACAATGAGAAGATTTATCAAGAAAGAAATGGAATCTTTTTAAGCTTAATTGAAATGCTTGCTAAATTTGATCCAGTAATGCAAGAGCACATTCAACGTATTCAAAGGAGTGAAATTCATTACCATTATCTTGGCCACAAAATCCAAAATGAATTGATACAGATGTTAGCGAGTGAGATCAAGAGTACGATTGTGGCAAGAATCAAAGAAGCAAAATATTTTTCAAATATTCTTGATTGTACTCTAGATGTTAGTCATGAAGAACAAATGTCTCTTGTGATAAGATGTGTAGATGTTTCAACCAGTCCGGTAAAGGTAGAAGAATTCTTTTTAGAATTTTTGAAAGTGGATGATACATCGAGGTTGGGACTTTTTAATGTACTTAGAGAGGCATTGCACACACTCCAACTTGATATTGGTGATATAAGAGGGCGAGGATATGATAATGGCTCTAATATGAAAGGGAGACACAAAGGTGTACAAAAAAGAGTACTTGAAATAAATCCAAGAGCATTCTACACGCCATGTGGGTGTCATAGTCTTAATCTTGCCCTTTGTGATATGGCTACCTCTTGTTCCAAAGCTATCTATTTCTTTAGAGTGGTACAACGCATATATGTGTTGTTTTCATCTTCTACAAAGAGATGGAAAATTTTCAAAGATAATGTGGAAGGTCTCACACTTAAGCCATTATCACAAACTCGTTGGGAAAGTCGTATTGAAAGTGTTAAAGCTATACGGTACCAAGCTCCACAAATTAGAGATGCTTTAATTCAGTTGGAAAAAGAAGCTAATGAGCCCAATACAAAGTGTGAAGCTGAATCCTTAGTTACATCTGAAATTGAGAACTTTGAGTTTTTACTTGGCATGATTATTTGGCACAATCTGTTGTTTGCTGTTAATTCTGTTAGCATGACATTTCAAGCTGAAGACATGCATATTGATGTTGCTATACATCAATTAAAAGGACTCATTACATTTCTTGAAAAGTATAGACAAACTGGATTTTTGGAGGCCATGATTGAAGCTAAAGAAGTCGCAATTGAAATGGAGATTGAAGCTACATTTCGTGAAAGGCGTGTCATTCGTGGAAAGAAACATTTTGATGAGAATGTTAGTGAAGAGGTTGCACAATCAGCTGAAGAATCCTTTAGAGTTAATTATTTCATATATATAATAGATTAAGCTCTTTCTTCACTTAAGAGTAGATTTGAACAATTTCAAATATATGAAGAAACTTTTAGATTTTTGTTTGATTTGAAGAAGTTAAATTCTACCAATGATGAGTGCTTGAAGACTTATTGTGCTAATCTTGAAGACTTTTTGAAACATGATGGGCTTATGGATGTTGATGGGAGAGATTTATTTTCTAAGTTGAAAGTCTTCAAAGAAATTTTGTCAAAAGAAATCAATAGGCCAATTGAGGTGATGAATTATTTGAAATTGATGGATGGTTGTTTTCCAAATGTTTGGATTGCGTATAGAATATTGTTGACTATTCCAGTTACCGTTGCCTCTGGAGAAAGAAGTTTTTCAAAGTTAAAATTGATCAAATCCTACCTTCGATTAACAATGTCACAAGAAAGATTGAATGGATTAGCTATATTGTCTATTGAAAAGGATTTGGTAGATAAATTAGATTATACAAACTTAATTAGTGATTTTGCAGCTAAAAATGCAAGAAGAGTAGTATTTAAGTGATCGTTGGGTTAATTGTAAGCTGGATATTGCTAAACTATAAAGCAACAAAACCAGTTTTTAATGTTTTTGAGTCATTGTACTGATTTCTTCCTATCCTAATATATGAAAGTGAATTTTAGTTTATAATTTTAATGATTATATGTTCAAGTATACTTAAATAAAAAATTTGTGGATACTTATCATTTTGTGCATAAATTTTTTATTAAAAAAAAATATATTAGAGGGGCCCCATTTTCATAGTGCGCCTTAGGCCCCACAAATCTCAGGGCCGGCCCTGATCGAGAGAGAGGGAGAGTGCCTGGAATCAGAAATCAGTGGTGCTACATATACTAATTAATGTACACACTAGTGTACCAATTAATGTTATGCCATTATTATTGACCATACATATTATATAAATTATAAATATCCAAAACTTCTAAAATTATGTCACATCATCTGCTAATATATTAGTTAGTACATTAATTGATATATATATATAACATTATTTTGTAGAGCAAAGAAGAAAAAGAAAACGAGAGAAAAGAAATAACAATGTCCTTATGGATTTAATAATTTAGCGTGTGGACTTTTGTTTAAAAGAAATTTAAATTTAAATTTATGGATCAAATACATATTTTTTATCATTTTCAATTAAATGATGCTAAAAGTTCAAAAAAGACAAATAAACCAATTTTTTAAAGATTTTTTTAATAAACTGGACTTTTTCTTTTTCTTTTTCTTTTTTGTCTATAGCAGATTTTTTTTTAGTTGACTCAATTTTTTAATTTTTAAAATCCTAAAAAGTAAACTAAAAAAAGTTGACTGAAAATTAAAAATTCAAAAAAGACAAAAATAAATTAGATTTTAGTTTTTAGCCAGAGGAATCACTTTAGCATTTGGCTAGTATTTTGTAATCTGTTTATAGCTAATATTTTGTAATTTTCTTACGTCATGAATCTTACAATGTTTAGAAAAATGTAAAATAAGTTGATGGGCCCAAAATATTTACAATATTCCGATGGAAATTCTTATAAAATCAAATACTTAATCTGCATTGGGGCATAAATCTTATTACGGGATTTTAATTTATGCTGTTTGATTTATGTTATCCAAACATAGCTTTATATATATACAAGGTCGCAAATTCATTTCCATAGATTGCGTTTGGTTTAAGAATTTGAGAGGAAATTGTGGAAGATAAGGAAAAATTAGTGAAATATAAGTTAAATTTTATCACTTTTCCCTCTCTTTTTCTTTTTCTTTCATAAATTTCTATTCAAATCATTATTCCAAATACAACCTAAAAGTATATATCTTAAACATCATTTGCAAGATTAAGGCCAAGTTTGGCAATCCAAAAATAATTCATCTTTTTATCTTTTTTTCATCACATCACCTCTCTACTTTTCTGCACATCTTTTCGTAAAAAGACAAAAAGTACACTTATTTAGGTCATCCTAAACAATCCCTAAATATTGCATTACCACTGGGGTTAAGAATTTGTTTTTATTCACATACTTTTTGAGTATATGAACAATATACACATTTTGGGCATACAAAAATTCGTTGGAGTTAACTTTGTAGCCATAGCTAGTGTTCTGCAATAGAAGATCATGAATTTAATTCTCTCCTTTCATTCTCTGTTATGTTTAGATCATAAATTTGATGGTAGAGAAAAAAAAAATAGATGGAAAAAAAAAAACCCTTATATTTCAATATTTTGTTTCTCTTTGTAAATCTCTTCTTCAATTGATGATCAAAACACAACCCTAATGAACCAAAAAAAAAATTTAAGTAGTGTTTGGCTTATCTCATGTTTAAATATGAATTTGAGAATATCGTGAAGCCATCACGGGTTCCGTTTCTATGATATGAGCTGTTCATTTTGTAAGGTCTTCCGTAATATATTATCTATGAAAAAATTAAGTCGTTGCAATAATCATAATTTTTTTATTTATCGTGTTTGCTTTTAAAAAAAATGAATGACAAGTATATTTTTGAAAGGAAACCATTCATTTTTCTAGAAATAAATATAATGAAATAAAAATATTATGATTATCAAATCGACCAAATTTTTTTTCATAAATAATATACACAAACGCTATGTTTGGTTGGAGGATTTGAGGAGGGATTTGGAAAGGGAAAGGAAAAAGTTAGGTGAAATGTAAATAAAATATACTTACATTTCACCTAGTTTCACACACCTTTTCCCTTTCCTTTTCCAAATTCTTCCCCAAACTCCCCAACCAAACACAGCAAAAAAATCTTACAAAATAAATAATTTAAATCATTTAAATAGAACTTATAAGTCTCCTGACCTTCTCAAATTCTCTCAAATTTAAAAGAAGCTGAATAAAATTAAGTCCAAGGTGTCATTTTATATCTTGCCTTAGATTCCACTCAATTAGGGACCATGAGTCGTCTTGTATTACATGCTAATAGTTCTAAAATTGTCTCTCATGCTCCATCATACTATAAAACCTCGGACTTTAAAATTTGGTAGGTTGGTTTCCTAGTATTTCTTTTTGCTTCACTCTTTTAACGTCATCATGAAAGAATGTAGCATACTCAAATCTTTTTGCTTAATCATGTCAAGTTACCCACTAACCTTGTTTATTTTTCTTTGGGACCCATTGGTCAAATTTCTTAGGCACTGTTGTTGTACTAATTGTTAAAAATTACATGACGAGTAATGACAAATAAGATTGACAGTTGTCATAATTTATTATTTGCAATAGCATTTATTTAGGTTCAATAAATTTTAAGTTAAATTATAATTAAAAGTTTTTTTTTTTAATATTTTTTATATGTATATTTTCATCAGACTCTTTATTTTAAAATTTAATTTTATAAACTATTTATTTTTATAATTTTCTAGATTATGCAAATAATTCTGTCTAAAATAGCTTTTAAAAGGTTCTAGGAAAAGTTGTCATATTCCTAAATAACAATAATGGTGCACAGCTAGTCATCCGGCAGGATATCTGGCCAGATATCATGTAATAAATGATAAAATATTATATTTTATATTTAAAATTAAAAAATAAAAACTAATGTAGCAGCTAATTATCTAACAGGATGTTCAACTAGATGACCAATAGGATGTCCGGTGACTCTTAAGAATAAATGATAAACTATTATATAACCTATAAACAGTGCATCGCTACATATAGCAATTTACTGTAGCAATGTCAAATTTAGGGGTGATTTGAATATTCTAAATAAGGGCACTTTTTAAGTTTTTATTAAAAAAAATGTTGAAAAGTAGAGAAAGTGGATAGAAAAGTAAAGAGGAGATATTGATAGATGTTGATTGATATGACCTAAATAAGTGCATGTATGCAAAAAAATATACTTTTTTAGTGTATGTCAAACAAGCACTTAATTTTGATGTAGTGAGACTGATAGAGGAGTGATTTTGTACCTTGCTAAGCAAATTTTATCCTAAAGCCATAATATCCAACCTGATGTGGATGCTCTTATTGTAATTTGAGTAAATTATGCTGTCTTTTCATAAGTTCTACAATTTTTAATAAAATTATGTTGAGCTTTTTTAAATGATAAATTACCAATAGGTCCTAATAGTTGGATTTAATTCCCATCAAATCCTATTGCAAACAAGTCCTAATAAAATTGTCGCTGAAAATAATTTTTTGTGACAATTTGTTGCACATGTCGCTAAAAATTGATAATTAGTGGCTTTTCTCTATGACGAATTTTTCAAATTGTTGTAACTATTTTTTTAAACTGTCGCTAAAACTTATAATTAATGACATTTTTGTAACAATTTTCAAACTGTCACTGAAAATTAAAAATTAATGACGTTTTTCAATAATGTTTAATAAAAAATGTCATTAATTATTATAGAACTTATTGAACAATAAATCCATATATTAGAACTTACATGTAAGTTCATTTTTTAAAATTTTAATTTATATAATATTTAATTATAGTTTTATTAATAATTCATTAGTCATATAAATAAAATAAAAAAAATCATCAAAAACAAATAAAAATCAATTTGAAAATAATTTTTAAGAAATCCAACCAAACAAGGCCCTTTCAATATACATGGCCATCATTTTTTGCTCAAAACATGTCGGAAGCTTTTCAAAATCCAACCCATCCCTTCCCAACGTATGGGAAGCGTTTCAGAACAGCTTATTAGAAACTTGGGAGATTATTTCAATGCAATCCATCCTATTTTAGGCTCCAGTGAAAGATTTATCACTCCAAAATTAAGAGTATAGATCGGATCTTGTGATCTATCTTCAAACAATTTGATATATCCTCTAGCAATCAGAACAAAAGAAAATGAGTTGGTTGTCATCTATGCCTCCTTCACACTGTGTTTGATTAGAGCATTTAGGAAGGAGCAATGCTACGTATCATGAAAAAACTTTCATGAAAATGATCATGAAAGATTTATGACTCTTAGATTACACTTAAAATATCAAGGTAATCTAAGGGTCATAAATTTTTCATGATCAGCTTCATGAAAATTTTTTCATGATCCCTATCTTTTCTCTTTAGGAAGAGATTTAGAAAAGAAAAGAAAAGAGAAAAGATGTGAAATTAGGTAAAATGTAAATATTTTTTATTCACATTTCACCTGTGTTTTTTATTTTTCATTTATCTTTTCAAATCCATTATCAAATCCCCTAATCGAATATAGTATTAGAGTTTTAAATAATTGTGCAGGACAAGTCTCCCTTCGATCGTGACAATTTTTGATTGGCTGAATTCTTAAAAGTCATTTTAATTTTTTTTCACATTTCGTCTAATAACTGTAATTGATAATTGTCACGGTTAAAAATTATTATTTATATAATGAATTACATTTATTTTAAAACACAAAGTATGTGATCTGAGCTAAATACAATATTAGAATTTTAAGTAATTGTGTAGTACAAGTCTCCCTCCCATCATGACAATTTTTGATTGGTTGAATTCTTAAAAGTCATTTTAATTTTTTTTCATGGTTAAAAATTATTATTTATAAAATGAATTATATTTATTTTAAAACACAAAATATGCGATCTGATCGTATAATAACTGATGTGATATTAACTTAATTGTTTACATTATTAATCTACTTAATACATCTTATAAAATTAATTATTCAAATCATTAAAACAAACCCTAAAATAGAATCACCAAATCCAACCACACCACTTCAATTTGTGCCTAGCTGGGGCGAATCTAGATATCTCTTTCTTTCTTTTTTATTCAATATAGATATTCTATATGAACGCATGAATAGTTTGAACCTTTTTTTATTTTTTTTATTTTTTTTTAGAGGGGTGAATATTTTGAACTTTATTAATAAACAAACTACACAAAATCTTTGCTGACTACTTCTCAACCCCCCCAAAAAAGTCTCCAAGACTCTAACCATCAAGATCTTTTTTTTTTAACTTAACCATGATTACTTCTAACTCTAAACCCACTTACACAGTTTCCACGTGCAGTTAGGATTTAGAGAGCAACCCCCTCCTCTCTCCCTCTCCCTCTCTCGAAACCTCACTTCGCTTGAAACAGAAAAGCTCCCGTTTTTGTTTCTCAAACCACCCATAGTTTGTTTTCCGGGAAAATTACTTCACCATTAAATTGTCACTTTCCGGGAAAATTTTCTGTACCAAGAAGTTGTTACCTTGCTCCTCAACCGCCAATACCGGTGTGTACGCTCTACCATTTCTGTGTTTTCCATATCCATTAATACATTTATTTCAGTTTATTTTCATTTGGGTTTTCGTTCTTAGTAGATGTTAACTTAGATTCAGAGCTCGTGAGATCTGAAAAACAAAGCTATGAACCACAAGGTACTGAAAATGAAGATGTATTTTTGACTTTTTTGTTCAGAAGTTGTACAGTTTCAGATTTGAATTTGTGGGGGAAAAAATATTGTTCTTATAGTTGTTTTGGACATTGATTTCAACTAGGTATTGATATAAAGTGTTTTTGGCTTGTGGGTGGTTGTTGTTTTTGTTAGTTTGGGCATAGATTTCAACTGGGTAATTGTTGTGGTTTTGGTGGTTAGAGATGAAACTAGAGGTGGGTATGGGGGGTTTGGTTTGGAGTGATGATGATAGAGCTATGGTGGCTGCTGTTTTGGGCACTAAGGCTTTCGATTACTTGATGTCGAGCTCCGTCTCGGCCGAATGCTCGTTGATGGCGGTGGGGAGTGGTGAGAATTTGCAGAACAAGCTTTCCAATCTGGTGGATCGCCCAAGCGCCTATTTTAGTTGGAACTACGCGATTTTCTGGCAAATTTCGCAGTCCAAAGACGGTGATTTGGTTTTAGGATGGGGGGATGGGTCTTGTAGGGAGCCAAAAGAAGGGGAGGAATCTGAAGTTACCCGATTTCTCAATTTTCGGCTTGAGGACGAGACCCAACAGACGATGAGGAAGAGGGTACTTCAGAAACTTCATACATTGTTTGGGGGATCTGATGAGGATAGTTATGCATTTGGATTGGACAGAGTGACTGATATCGAAATGTTCTTTCTAGCATCAATGTATTTTTCATTCCCTCGCGGGGAAGGCGGTCCGGGGAAATGTTTTGTGTCCGGGAAGCACGTTTGGCTCTCGGACGTGTTGAAATTGTCATCTGAATATTGTGTTAGATCGTTCCTTGCAAAGTCTGCTGGTATCCGAACCATTGTTTTGATCCCAACTGAATTTGGGGTAGTTGAATTAGGTTCAGTGAGATCCATACCCGAAAGCTTAGAGTTGGTGCTGTCAGTAAGATCATCTTTTTCATCAACTGTCAAGGCCAACCCAATGGCAGTCGTTCCAGTTCCAGTTGTGAGCGAGAAGAAAGATGAACATGCCCATTTTTCCAATTTAGGTGTTGGAGAGCGACCAAATGGGATTGCAAAGATTTTTGGACAGAATTTGAACTCAGGTCGTTCCCAAACTAGGGAAAAACTTGCTTTTAGAAAGGGTGAGGAGAGGCCACAGGAAGCATACACAAATGGGAATCGGCTTCCATTCCCAAACACTCAAAGTGGACTACATGGTCCGGGTTGGACACAATTCCATAGTGTGAAGCCGGCAAACAATCTGCACGAGCTCGTCAATGCTGTTAGGGATGAGTTTCAGCTTAACCATTACCAGCCTCAAAAGGCAGCACGGATGCAAATTGATTTTACAGGAGGCACCACTTCACGGCCTGTGATTCCTGGTCCAGTTAGTGTTGAGTCCGAGCATTCAGATATTGAGGCTTCTGTCAAGGACGAGCTGGCAGTCCTGGCTGACGAAAAAAAGCCTCGGAAACGGGGACGAAAACCTGCAAATGGAAGAGAAGAACCGCTAAATCACGTGGAGGCAGAGAGGCAGCGGCGAGAGAAGCTGAACCAAAGGTTCTATGCATTGCGAGCAGTTGTACCCAATATCTCAAAGATGGACAAAGCCTCACTGTTAGGAGACGCCATAGCTTACATCACTGAGCTTGAGAAGAAGCTCAAGGTCATGGAATCAGAGACGGAAAATCTGGGGAAACCATCAAGAGAATCACTGGATTTGGAAGCCAACCCAAATTCAGAAAATCAAAACCAAGTTCATAACATCGAAATCCAAACTACTCACGATGAAGTTGTTGTTAGAGTTAGCTGCCCTTTGGATACCCACCCGGTTTCAAGGGTCATCCAAGCATTTGAAGAAGCGAAAATCACTGTTGTCGAGTCAAAAGTTGCCACAGGGAATCACACTGTGTTTCATACATTTGTGATAAAGTCTCAAGGATCCGAACAGATCACGATGGAAAGTTTGGTTGCAGCATTTTCTCGCGAATCAAACAACTTGCAGCCTCTATCATCTGTTGGGTAATATCAGAATCAATCTTTGACATAGTTTCTAGGAGAAATTTGTTTTGATACACAGCAGTTTCAGCTAGAAGTAGAAAAAATAACTACCTATTGAAGTAGGACTCAATTTTTGTGTTTTTGTTTATAGTTATACATATTCTGTTATAGGTACTTTTGCAAGATTAAATTATTAAATTTTATAATTTCAAAACCAACCCTGCTATTGTTTCTTGTTTGAAAGCTGATCTTATGCTTTTTGAATTGTTTGTCTGAACTTTTTGAAGGAAGTTTTGGTTACTTGGATTTTAAAATTATTCAGTTATTTTGGAGCACCGATTTGCATCTAAGTTGTTAAATTTGGATCATCAATTGCTTAAACTATTAAGAAATTGGTCAAATCGATCAAATGAACAAGACTTGAACCGCAAACCTCTTCATAGGCATCGAACCCAAACTTAATTGCCAATAAGTGAAAATACTTTTAAACTATATGAATCAAGAGTGATTTATTGTAATGATACAAGTCTCTTATACTCGCCTGTATATGCAGTCTTATAACACGTGATATAGAGATGAACTAAATAATAAAAACAGATCCGGGATAGAGAGACTCATCAATGAGTTAGATAACCTAAGATCCAACTCTAGGTTCATAAAAAAAATATAATGATATGAGATAGAATTAAACTCAATCTTCGTTTGTGAAGAGCTAAAATAGTTTGGTTTCTTGGCTTTTTATCTATTTTAGCTTCGTTTGGTTTTTGTTTTCGGTTTTTTTTTTTATTTTTGTAAAAGAAAAAATGTAATGATTATGGTTTGGATGTGACATTTTATCTTATTAATTTATGTAATTAATTTTTTTTTTTTGTATTTTTTTAACTAAAAAGCCATAACCAAACATAGCTTCAGTTACATTAGAGTCTACATATTAAACTTGCTATGTGGGTGTTTGGGAAGTAGGTTTTTATGTAGGTTTTTTTAGTTGTGGGATATTATTGGAGAAAAAAATTTTAGTATTTGGGAAGATAGTTGGATTTTTTTGTGGTTGGATGTGATGTTTGTGAGAGAAAAAGTGAAATGATTATGGGATTGGATGTAATATTTTGTTTGGACTTATTTTTTTTGATTTTGTAAAAATTTTATCTTTTAGTGAAAAAAATCAAAAAAAAACCTAGGAAAAAAACTTGTCAAACACCACCATGTATGAATGACTTTTTTTGTGTGTTTTTTGGGGAAAGTGTTTTCCAAATTCAAATGTTCCCATTACCTAAAAGTGACAAATACGCGTAAACAAAATATGTAAAACATTTCAAGATTCGTGGAAGACAAATTTGTGGGTGAATGGAAAGCGATGGGAAATAATAAAACATTTCAAAACATGTGGAATCAAACATTTCTTGTGACACATTATAAATGTTTGAATTTTATATTCTTCTATATTTTTTTTTTCTCTACCAAATTTCTTTGTGCCTATGTCTTGTTAGACCTAATTCTCATTTAATTATTACATTACTTTCTGCCTCATTTCTTGTCAACACCTTTATTTTTATTTTTTATTTTTTTTGGGGGGGTATAATTTGATTTATATGGTTGTGTGTTGCACCCATCATGTGTTTTTTAGGTGGAGGAAATGGTAATTGAACCCTTAAAATTGCAAAAAAAATTTAAATTAAATAACAATTACATTGTGTACACATTGTAAAAGTAACTGGTATTAGAGTTTTAAAATGAATCAAATTATTAAAACTCGACTTTCATTAATACAATTTAAACTCAATAAGTTTTAAGTCAATCTTGATATTATTGGACTGTATTATAAAAAATTAAATTTCTTAAATTTGACTCATTATTAACTCAATTAAAGTTTATTGAGATCAATTCAAAAGATAAATAATCAAATTTGAACAGACTTTTTTAGTAATTTTTTGATTAAAATGTGATCTAAAAAAAACTATGTTTGGGATGATTTTTTAGCTTTTTACAAAAAGATGTGCAAAAAATAAAAAGAAAATGGAATCTTTGACTTTTTGGTATGAGTTGTTGACTTTTTAATTTTTTTAATAATTTTTTGATTTTTTAACTAAAAGGGACACTTGCCAAACGAAACACAATTTAAAATTCATTATAACTAACAAGTCAAACATGTGGAATGAAGCATTTCTTGTTCCACATTATAAATGTTTGAATTATATTCTTCTATGAATTTTCTTCCCATTAATTTTCTCAGTACTCATTAAGGTGTCTTGTTAAACTTAATTCTCATTTAATTATTACATTTATTTTCTCCATATGTCTGGGTGACTAATTTTTTTTTTTTTTTTTTTGGTCTCCTACCTGCCAACATGCTTTTCAATGACAAAATGGTTATTTGAAACCATCGCTTTCGAAAATTAGGATTAATTATATCAAACTTCTTTAACTATTAGTGAATATTAATTTACCCTCTTATTTATAAATTTATATATTTTGACCCATCAACCATAAAAATTTATCACACTTATCCCTTGTAGCCCCTCCCAAAAGAAGTGTATTTGTACAGTTTTTATAGTTGAAGAAGTCAATACGTAACAAGTTCTTAAATAAGAGAGGTAAAATGATATTTGCTAATAATTGAGGATCTTGGTGCAATTAACCTCAAAAATGATTCCCAATGTGTTGTGATAACATCCCCAAGCAATTTGTACCACCAATTTGTGTGAATCCCGCATGAAACTCGCACACAAATAGATAGTAAAGATTATTTTGTAACATAACAATGCCATTGCCACAAGGGACAAGGAAAAATTAATCCCAGTAATACTAAAGACAAAAAATTCAAAAAAAAATATAAATATCTATATATATATTAGGAAAAGAAGTATGTAAATCTAAAAGCATACCCATGTTTACAATTGAAGAAATAATATTGAACAATCAAAATGTTACTTCACAACTTATTGCTCAAATCAAATTGATGGTAGATTAGATCGACCCGAAGTATCGATTATCTATCCCACTCTTGTTCCATCTTTGTCCTATACTTATCTTATATTAGAACATCACCGAAATCAATAATTAAAAAAATATGAGATAGAATATGATATAAGAAACGGGACAAATAATCTTATACTAAGATAACAATACACACAACCCGTCGTACAAAGTAATATGTCAAACTTTTTACCAAACTTTATAGAATATACTTTTCATGTTTCAGAAATCCCAATCAAGTATAGAATTGGGTCGTGATGTATGAATCCACTTCAACTTTGCATAACTTGATTGTACATTTAGTCTAATGGTGTGAAAGGTTTGTCTTCCAGTTGAATGTTAGTAGTATATTGACTGGCTCTTTGAATGTGTAGTATTTGTAACATTGCTCTATGCGTCACACAATCTTCAAAGAATTGGTCTTGTTTGGCGTGGCTTTTTGAAAATTTCTCCTTGGTGTCAAAAATTGATAAAATTGAAAACACAACTAAAATCTACTTTTAAATTATGTTTGGATCTTAAATTTATAGAGAAAAATGAAAAGTAAAAGAAAAAGGAAAAGAGAGATATTCATTTGTTTGGGCGGAAAATATTTTTAAATTATTTTTCTATATTTGGTAGTGATAGTGGTGAAATAAAGGTAGAGGTGGAGGCGATAGCATGGTGGTAATGCGGCAGTGACGGTGATAGTAGCCGTGGTGATGGTGGTGTGGTGGTGAAGGTGAGAGTGGCGGTGATAGTAAGGTAAGATTGATAAAATTTTAGTCTGAAAAATGTTTTCCTTCTTTTAAAAGTGGAAAACATTTTCTACCCATATAAGTTTGTTTTCTATTAACTATAGAAAATGTTTCTGTTAACTTTTGTTTTTCATTATACCAAATACAAAAAATACATAAAATATTTTTCACCCAAACAAATAGAACTTAAGAGCTTCTCTCTCTCTCTCTCTCTTTTTTAGTGCAAATCCAAAATCCAAACACATCATTGGGTTCATCAACGAAAATGAATAATGTATCTCAGAACATTTCATTGTTTTCATTTAGGAGGTCACTCAACATGTAAACTAAAATGAAAACAAAATATCTAAAAAATGAAACAAAAGATAGTTCACACATTTTCTTAATTTTAATCCGCGTCTCCTATAATTTTACTTTATTTTCTTTCTCTCCATTTTCTTAGCAACCAAACAGGCCTCACTTAGATGAACATGAAAAGGCAAGGAAGACAGAAATGAGAATATATTATGTTTTCAAATTCCAGGACAATTTTGCTTTAGTATAGCTTTTATATACCTATAAACGGATTGAGGTACAATGACATTGGCAAAATAAATAAATAAATAACAAGGAAAAGGAAAAGGATGATACCCAAGTGATATTTGACAGATTAAAAAAGAACCCTATATGAGGGTCGTGTACTCAAGATAGTTTGGTGTAACTCTTATAATTGTTTATAATTTTTTTTTTTTTTAATTTGAGAGTTTGTATTAAATTGTTTGATATAATTTTAAGCATAAATAATTTAAAGGGTTGTTTTGAGAATTATCTTTTTTAGTAATTTTTAAATTTTCTACGAAAAAACGTACAAAAACGTAAAGAGAATAGCTGACTTTTTTATAGTAATTGTTTGGCCAAAATGTCGCTTCTCCAAAATAGGCCCTATGTTTTAAAAAAATCTGACCATCTGAAAGTTGAGAAAAATATACTTTTAACTTTTGTTTTTAATTATCAACTTTCAAATTACAAATTGCACCAAACAAATGTTGAATATTGGCTACAGAATCTAGCCATGTGGTGGAAAGTGGCAGCCAGCTACATGGTGGGGAAGCCATGAGGCCATGTGAGTTGGCCATGAGGCCATGAGAAGCCATGTGAAGCTTCAATCTGTAAAGTCACCGAAAGCACAACAATGGGCTGGCAGCCAGCTCATTTCAAAGGGTTCCTCTTGCATTTGTAATCTCTATATATAGAGAAGCTAAGGAGAGTTGAGATACAGCTGAGATAACAGAGAGCAAAGAGAGAGAGAGAATTACAGAGAGAGTTGTAATTCTTACCATTTTGTTCAATATAGTGAATCCGCTGCCCGTGGACGTAGGCGACTTGCCGAACCACGTTAAATCTTGTGTGTTATTGCTTGTTTGAGTTCCCTGGTGTGCCCCCGATCCGCAACACAAACATTCAATTTAACAAAGAGAGCAATCCTAGGGGAAATGAGAACTTTGAACAAAAGAGAGCTTTAAGTTCTTTGACAAAGTTCACATATATTCTCAGTTGAGTCGTTTCTCAAAATACCAATTTAGCACTGAAAATTTGAAATCAAGAAGTTGTGATCCATACCCATTAGTAGATGAATTTGAGGACTGGCACCAAGTTTTGTAGGTTCCTCCGTGACATTTCCAATGAAGTTTATGATGTTGAGCCAAACTGGAAATTTAGTGGAAGATATGAACACAGTAGTAGGGTGGGTCCTTTCATGCTTGGGAAGGAAAATAAGGCTATTGGCTGGAGTTACAATGATGTTAAGCTCATCATGCAGAATATCATGTGTGAGCAGGAGACTACCGATAATGAAACTGAAACTGTCAGGGTTTCAGCATTGCTGAGAGCATTTCCTCCAACGATGGAATGGGATATAGCAGCAAGGAGGACTGGTCTTTCTGGCACGACACTGTCTGTTGAAGGAGAGTGGAATTCCTCCATCGGGAAGCTTTGCATGGTTGGGTGTCTAGGAGTTGTTAATTCAGGATTAGAAGGATGCAATTCTCAGATTTTGTTGTACATTCCTCGTTCATTTTCTAGCAGGCAAAGAAGTATCATGTTTGGGAGTATATCCAGCATCAGAAATGAAACTGATTCATACTTCCCCATACTGTTTGGGGTGGCAATGAGTCCAACAATACTCTCTAAATATGGCTTGTACCTATCATACAATTATTCGAAGACTGACATAGTTGGTGTGTTTAGGAAGAGAAGCCAGCCATCTCAAGTGATAACTTTTATTAGGGAATCACTCTTAACATATCCAGCCCAGGGGGATAGAAATGATTTATTTTATCGTTTACATCTTCTTTCTAGTGATCTCTATATTTACGCTTATGCACTCCCTGTTCCCATAGTCAATGGCCATAAGCCAGAGATCTTTGTTCAGGTTGAGGTGCTTTCATTAGGTCCTGTATTTGGAAGATATGCCCCCTTGTTGTATAAAGATGGCTCTTCAGTTAGTGATCAAGCTGAACTCACCAAGTCAGAGGTCCGCAATGTTTCCTTACATCTCATGCTCACAGAAGCTCCCCTCAGATTTTCAGGGAAATCCAATAAAGATATTTCAAAGTTGTTCCTGGAAGGTTTATATGACCCAGTTGTTGGTGAGATGTATTTAATTGGTTGCAGAAAAGTTATGGTTGAAAGTATTAATATTGAGAGAGGCCTAGATTGTTCAATGAATGTTAAAATTGAGTATCCTTCTGAGACTACATTGTGGGTATTCATTCCAATTACAAAAATTACCATCACCAGTCGAAGGAATGACAATGATCCTCTCCATTTCAGTCCAATAAGCCTACAGACATTTATGATTAGTTCTCGCAAGCATGAGAGGGCTGTACTATTCAGGAAATCTTTTGAGGCGATCCTTCGTATTCTGATGCTTTTAGTGTCTGTTGCTATCACATTGAGCCAACTCTTTTACATGAAAAAAAATGTAGAAGCCATTCCTTACATATCTCTTGTCATGCTTGCTATCCAGGTTCTTGAGTATAGCCTTCCACTGATCAGCAACAGTGAGATTCTATTCAAATCAAAGGAATCTGAATCTTACAGACTCCAATGTTATAGTTTTCAGGAGTACTGTTCTTCAAAATCCTTGATTGTACTGGGAAATTTTTGTCGTTGGCTGGCTTGCTTCTCACAGCTAGGCTTTTCCAGAAGGTGTCTGAGTCCCGAAATGAAGTACATTGGACGTCAAAGCCAAGATGTGTTCCTAGTGATAAGCAGGTTCTCCTAATTACATTGTTTATCAACATTTTTTTGTTTCTAATTTCTCATGGGACATTGCTTCCCCTCATAAAGGATGCATATACAAGAGGAGATACCCATTTGCTGCAATTTTGGGTGGTGAAACTGGGAGATTATTTAATTTGTCTGGTTCTAGACTTCTTTCTGCTTCCTCAAATCATTGGCAACAAGTTGTGGCAGTTCAGAGTTAAACCCCTCAGGAGAGCCTACATATATGGATTTACTTTGCTAAGGATTTTTCTGAATCTTTATGACTGCATCCTATGAAGCACGGATACTTCAAATAGGGTGACGTATCCGTATCGGATACCGATACTCCTTGAATACTCGCGGATACGTATCGGATACTTATTAAAAGTATCGGATACTTCTTAATTAATTTTTCATTAATTTTGGAGTATCGGATACTTAATTTTGAAGTATTGGATACTCCAAGTCATGTTTACTTGTTTTATGAAATCAGAATTGTAACATTTATTGCATAGTAATATAATATAATATAATTGCAAGGATAAATATAAGAATATTTTTCTAATACTTTGTTAAGTTCTTCGATAAGAAGAGCATAGGGAGTTAAATAATAGAATTTATCAAATTGATGCATCCTAATTGTTTCTTACATGTCCCCTATAACTACATAGAAACTAAGAATTAACAAAAGAATATAACAATGGTAAAATTAAATATTAATAAATAAATAAGCAAGTAAACTTGAATATAATATTTTTCACTAGTGTCAAAGGAAAAAGCATAGGGACAAGTTGTGAATTGTTCTATTATTGTAATATAAATATATTAAACTTGAAACTGAAATGAAATATTTGCAAGACCTATTAAAAATTTAAAAAGTAAACAAGCTACTAGCTTAAATTAATACAAAATTCTTAAAGGATAGTATTGTGCATTATAAAATTACATTGTGATTTCTTAACATTCTTTAGTTCATGTGTAACTCACTATTAATAATTTTAAAAAATATATTTTTCACAAACGTATCTTAGCCGTACCCGTATCCTATTTTTTTAGGTTTTGTCGTATCGCCGTATCCGTATCCGTATCGTGTCGTGTCCGTGTCTCGTATCCGTATCTATACTTCCTAGACTGCATCAGAGATCCTGTTGTAGCTCCTTACCCTAATACCATACGGGCTTGAGTGTGGCATTCATGTTCAAGTTGGGCAATGTTGTATTTGTACAACCATGCTAACATTCTTGTCTTATTCACGGGCAGCAACTTAGCCAGAATTCAATCAACTTCACTCCGATTCCTTCCAATTATGCATTATATGAGAAGTTTCTCATTGTCTTGTAGCTTGACATGGAAGTCTCACAGCATAGAAGGGTCACTTGTGATTGAATCTTTTTCCCTGATCATTCTAATGTTTATGTAGAATAATGAATGGATGATTTGAAATCCTCAAGGGGATATTCAAATTGTTTGAATTTGTGTTGTAATGATGAGCCATTGCATCGTGTTCATTGTCTATCACCGGTTTATTTGCTTTGTAATATGTTCCATGAAGTCTACTTATTCTAATTTTACATGTCTGTGCCTGTAATTTTCAAGTTTTCATTCTAATTTTGTTATAGTTTTTACATGTTAGTGCCTGTAATTTTCAAATATTCCCAAGTCAGAATGGCTATTGAAGCACAAGGATGGCAACCCTGCTTCAAGTTTATTTTTCATTTGCATTCTTGTCTTTTTGATTTGTTCTAGTAATTTTCAATTATTGGAAACTCAACTCTTGATATTATTCAAATTATAAGTCTTTGAAATTTTCATGAATGTACTTGTCATTCATAAATATTCCAAACCACATCATCTATGGAATTTATTTAAAAAAAGAAGTGCCTAAGTGAATTCTGTTTATCTTTTTTTTTTATTTTTTTTTTTGAGGTTTGATGGTTAGACTTCAAGAAGATGGTAATGGTTGCTGTCCAGACCTTCAACTTCTGCATCCTTTCAGTTAAATTCTTAAAGTCCTGTACGAACCTTAAAAGTTCTTATCCAGATGATGGAAGAAGATAACAACCCATGTTCCTTTGTAATTTCTCCCAATTAAAATTCAGTGCAGACTTCACAGTATTTGACTAGCTAGCAGGCCACAAATGCATCAAAATTTCCTAATATATTCATTAGAAAAGTTACCAGATTCTTAATATATATAATTCCCTGATGACCAGTGATCCAAAGTTTGCATGGCCCCGTTTGGGGACTTTTATTTTGGCTAAAATAAGCAATAAAGACAAAAAATGTTAAAATAACTAATACGACAAAATATCACATCTTACACATCAATCAATCACTTTTTCTCTTACAACCATTTCTTCTACTATAAAAAAAATCTACAAATCATCCCAAACACAATTTTTTTTTGTCTCATAAAATAGATAAAAGCCTACTAAAATAACCAAATTCCCAAACGAGGCCAGTGTACCCCTCATCACCAAAGAGTGAAATTAAACCATGTGAATCATCCAGGAATCCCCTTGTAAATGGCAAAGCCAAGTTTAAACAGAACTAATTATTATATTGCAATCTAGATCACTGATTAAGCAAAGGTAATGTATTTTATTGTGTACCGATTAAAAAAAGAGAGAAAAAATTCATACAGAAGTGAGTGTGTTGGTGTTTGTGAAGAGATAGTCAATGTAAGGTTATCTGCCATATTTATAGGGTTCGTCAAGTGAGATTCCATAACCATGTGATACAAATTAATAAAATGCATTTCTAACATTGAGGATTCTGATTCTGATTCATGCATGTTCACCCATTTTGGCTAATATTTCAAAGTTAAATAACATCAGCAATATTGTCTTTTAACTTTTTACTGATACTTCTTCTTCTTTTGATTATTTTGTGTCTATTATTTTTCTTACATGTTAATTATTTTTCTGCCACTACGACTAAAGTCAACTTTGGAAAACTTCCTTTGGAAAACTTCCTTCTTTCCATTCAAATTCAGGTTACATTATCAAGGAAAGCAGAGCATATAATCACCATTCAGATCAGCAGAAAATAAGTTCTTCCAAGTAAGCTTCAAGAATTGGAATCATGTAGATTTTTAAATCTTCTGATTTATTTTTCCTGCTAATTTGATAAAAGAAAACTACTTTATTTGAATTCATTTACGGCTCGTGGTTTTCTTTTTATTCTTTTTATCATGTCTAATTTCAACACTCCTTCATTGTAGTTGCTTCTTTTATTGTTGGAGCTTATTTCTTGACTGAGACAATTTAAAGAGGATTGGGCAGTGGTAATGGAAACTCTAACTAAGGAGCTTCATTTATGGGTATTGTGGCTGCTGTTTTTCAGCTTCAGCGTCACTGCTTCATACACAGATTATGCAAATCGAGACAATCCTTCTATAACTTACACTTACACTCGCTTTGCTGACATCGAGAAGCACTGTGGTTTCATTCTGCCATCACCTGATGATAACGGGGGTGAAAGAATAAAAAGAAAGCTCTTCTTCATGAATGGAGATTGGGATCAAGACTCTGGTGGAGCACCATTATTACCATTTAATGACCATGATATCGGAAACACTTTTGGTAACGGGCCTCCCTTAAAATTAGTCTCATTTTGGGTTATGGATGTTGATCGAGTTCGGCAAGCTAAAAATGCTGTGAGTGTCAGTGGGATATTGGACATTGGCATATCAAGAAGTAGCTCATTCTCCTACAAGCCTTATGATTGGTCCCCAAAGTATAACCACCAAGGGGTTTCTTCTCTCACAGTTCTCTTTGAAGGGATATATACTGAGTCGGAGGAGAATGGAGGGGAGCGCCTGATGTGTTTGTTGGGGAATGCAACCATGCCTACAAGCCAATTCGATGATTCAATGGTATCCATGAATGAAAATGGTTATAGCTACTGCAATCAAAATCTTCACCTTGTACCAGATGATCAAATTATGTTTGTTCTCCGGTATCCCAAAACCTTCACTTTGACAAGTAGAGGTATCAGTGGAGAAATGAAAAGCTTGAACCAAAAGTGGAACTTTACATACTTTGATAAAGTCCATATATCTTCTCAGTTGGGGAGTGACTTGAAATATCAGTTTGGATCTGAAGAACTTTTGTCAAAAGCGAGCAGTCCATATCCATATCAAGACAACTTGGTTGATGAAGAAGTTGAGATGTTTAAAAGGAGAGGAGTTCTGTGAAATGCTTTTGGACTTTGCTCAGAATCAAATTTTTGACTTTGTTCCCAGCAGGAAAGATGGTGGTGCAAATGATCAGCACCATAAGCTTGGCCCATTTGTTCTTGGTGGGAGGAAGACTGAAGCAACTGATGGGGACTTGGACAATTTCAGGCTTATGGTTCAGGACCTCCGGTGTGAGCCTGGAAATAATCTAACCGAGATCAGAACGGCAAGAGTATCTTCTGTTTTCAGGTTAATTCATTCATCAGAAAATATTTATAGGGCAATGAAGAGAACAGGTCTCTCCGGCACGCAGAAGGAAGATGGCGCTCTTCTGATGGCCAGCTCTGTATGGTTAGTTGTCGGGCTTTTGTTGGTGCTCCTTCAGACTCATGCAATTCTCAGATCTGCTTGTACCTCCCTCGTACTTTTTCTATTAAGCAACGCAGTATGATGTTTGGTACCATTTCTAGCATCAACAAGAATAATTTGAACTGCTCCCTGATATTTGAAAAGTTGACACATCCAAAACATATTTCAGAGAAGTACAAAAGCAAATGGCATCTTTTGAAAAACTTGAACTATTCATATAAGTACACAAAGATTATGCAGGCAAGTGAGTTCCAGAAGAGAAGCAAGCCCTCGAGATTGGTAAATATTTTGAGAAAATCATTTCTTTGGTGCCCGTCATTGAAAGGCACTGACATGGCCAGTTTGTCACTTCTGTCAGATGTGCTCTCTCCTCATCTTTTTGTCATTCCACACACTATGCCAAATCCCCGAACACCCAGGAGTTATGTAGATGTGGAGGTACTTTCTCTGGCTTCATTGTTTGGTCGCTACCGCCGGCAGCTGCAAGAAGAAAAACTAGAAGTTGAAAAACCTTTCCATTTGAATGCTGAATGATTAAAAGTTTCAGGGAATCTCAGCATAAGTGGTGGTAATTTCTACAATGTCTCCATGTTTTTCGAGGGGTTATATGATTCAGTTGTTGGGGAGATGTATCTAATTGGTTGCAGGGATGTTCGAAGTTCTCAGAAGTTCGTCTACAATGGCACAAACCTTGAAGGAGGAATGGACCGTCTGATTGAAGTCAAAATAAAGTATCCTCCCAGTAATTTGCAGTGGCTACTTAACCCAAAGATAAAAATCTTCATTAACAGCAAAAGGAGTAAGGAGGACCCCCTCTATCTTAGTCCCGTCAGCCTCAATACGTCTGTGGTTAATTATTCAAAGCAGTTGGTTTATGTAATATATCGAAAAGGTTTCGAGGGTGTGCTTCGAATTCTAATGCTCAGAATGGCAATCATCTGCACACGGAGCCAATCAGTTTACACCAAAAATGAGGGACACCCCACGGCCTATATATCTTTGGTCATGCTTGGTGTCCACACTTTTGCTTACAGCATTCCATTGATCACTGGTAATGAAGTTCTCTTGAAATGGAAGGAATTCAAACCATACAGAACAGAAAAATATGATTTTGAAAAGCTTCAATTGTTTCAGGTACTCGACTCTGCTACCAATATTCTTCTGCTTGCTGCATTATGGTTAAATCTAAAACTTTTTCAGAATGTTTGCGAATCTCGTGGCAGACAAATTGGTGATTGTCATATACCGAAAGCCAAAATCCCAAGTGATAAAATAGTTTTTCCTATTACACTGGCCATTCATATAAGTGGGTTTTTCCTTTTTCATGTCATCCATGAACTATGTACAAGTCAAATAATGGTCCAGTTAGGAAATTATTACCCAAGAGGTAATATGAAGCTGCTAAAATGGTTGGGAGTTGGAGGGTTATACTGGCCTAATCCAAGATCTTTTCTTGCTTCCACAAATTGCTGGCAACTGTTTGTGGTACGTTCAAGGCAAGCCCCTGAGAAAATCATACTACTTGGGCTTCACATTGCTCAGATTCTTACTGCATGGTTATGAATATGCAAGAGATCCTGTTCCAAGTCCTGAACTTGATGACAATGAATTGCAGCACTTAGATATAGGTTCATACACTAAGATTGGCAACGTTATAATGGGAGCTATTGTGTTGATACTCGCAGTGATAGTGTATATTCAGCAGAAATGTAACTACCAGGCAGATAGCCAGAAAGTGAAACCAGAGGTGAAGGAGCTGGCCACCAAGTCTGACTTGTATGAGAGGCTATTCCCGAGTGATTAGATCATTTGAAGGCTGAATGCACTATCATGAATTTGATTTCTCTAATGATTGATAATTTCATAATTTTAGCACTTTTGGTCATTTTGTTGTGATGTTGCAGCTTTGTAGTCTGTTTGAAGTAGGCATCTTTGGTCTTATGATAAACAGTTTTTTATCTCATAATAAATGCATTTGATGGTTGGTTCTCTGATAAACGATTCATGTTCACACATTACTATGAGTTGCAATCAAGCCTTTGTTCAGGTATTTTAGATCATGAACAAGTTTAGCATTTATTTATTTATTTTCTCCGTTTCATACAGCTGAAGATTTCCAGCTTCCAAGGGAATTTGGTGAACCCACTAATATCGGTTTATGAAAATAAAAATGTGCAAATTGAATTTTCCAGGAGGCGAAAAAACTCGTGTATTGCTCGGGAGGCAATTCTCTTAACTGTTGGATGGGTTCTATCATAAGGTTTTAAAAAATTCAATGAAGAATTATAAAATACATGCAAGAGAAAACTCGATTTATCTCCACAGATTTAATGAATCATGTATAAGAGGAAAAACCAGATCAACTTTAGTTTTGATTTTACGTTTTCATCTTTTTCATGATGTTGTTTTTGTTTAAGTAGCCTTTTTAAGTGTAGTTGGGAATAAGGAATGTCGAGTTCAGTTGGTTTTATACTGTTCTGTGGTTAATATTTGAAAACTGTATAATCTCTTGAGTTTGTTCCAAATAAGAAACAAAAATTGCCTAAATGATTTCTGATTTTTTGAATGGGTATTTGGAAACTTCAATAATATAGTAATGTGAAATTCCTCATGAAATTCAGTTTCTGCATTTTTGCAATTACATTTGTAATATCCCTTAGGAATCTTAAAGTTCATTTCCAGTTGCTGGGAGAGCTACATACAGACAGAAAGAGATGAACATTCCCATATTCGAAATATTTGATTCTATGGCGTGGACGAGTTCAATACTTAAATGAGAACTCGAGGATGATTTTCCATTTTTACTTTTTCTCAATTCATATTCAGTGCAGCAACAGATCACCAATTTGCTTTGCTCCCTTGTTTGTTTGTTTGTTTTTGGCTGGGGTCCTTGTCCTCTTCTTGTACATATTTTCTTTTTTCTTAATAAAATATCTTTTGTTGTTTATCAAAAAATAAGTCACAAATTTATCAAATTTTCTGTGAAAGTCACCAGATTCCTAATATTCATTGTATAATTCTTGGAGATGACCAACTATCTGAAATTTACTCCAGCTTGTGGTATACCCCTCCCTCATCACTGAACAACCAAGTTGGAATAGAACTAATTACTGTATTAAACAAAGGTTATATGTTTTAGTGGGAACTAGTAGCCAATGCTTTCCAAAAAAGATATGTAGAGTTGGTGCATTGGGGTTTGTAAATAACAATGCAAAGGTAAACACTTGGCCATGTGATACAAGTTCTTAAAATCATTTCCTAAGTTTGACCTTTCGAAGGGATCTGATCCATTCATGCATGGTCTCCTTTTGTTACTATACTAATACTTTAAGGTCAATCATTATGTGTACCGGATTCCGCACTAGATGAAAGTGGAACGGGACCCCGCACTCGGTTGGACTATCCAGGGACTGAGGTTCCTGCCACAAGAAGCACCGTTAGAGCTGCCCGGCCGGGGTTAGCTAGATAACCCCTTCGGTGTGGGAATTAGTGATCGAAGAAGAAGTGTATATAGAGTTGAGTCTATCTCTGAGTGTGATTTGCTCGGAATAGTTCAGTTACCTTCAATGTGAAGTTCATGTAGTATATATAGGGTTCCTTCCTTGCTTCTCAAGATGGGTTCATGGAGCTTGGATGCTGCCAGGTGTCCTTTTAGCATTGGTCAAGGTGGGGGACCACCTGGTAGTTGTTATTGAATGCATATACTCATTGTAGCCATGTTGATAACAAACCACATTCTTTGGTTCAACAACTTCCGTGGTTCTGGGTGTAGGGGACCAGCTGAGGTGGCAACTTGCACATGTACACGTTCACAACTTCCACGTTTTTCTGTGAGGTTCCCTCTGCTCGGTATCTCAGTACCTCGGCTTGGCCTTATTCAAAGCTTCCGTTGGGACGAGGTGGTCTATTCGGATATCTTAGTGTGGGCTCGGCCCACATCTGTTCGGCCCAAAGGTTCGGTCCTTTAGCTCGACCTAGCCCAGCGTCGCAGCTGGACTAGCCTTTCCACTGTGGGTTGGGTCCAAGTGCTTGAGAATTTGGGTAGACTGTTGATCATGGAGTTGGGCTCAATTAGCTTGCCCATATATTCATCTAATCCATTTGAACTTGGGCTTTATTAGATTGGGCCGACCCAAGCCTTGGATCCGACCCATTTCATATTCAGCCCCTTCAGTCATCAGCATTGGTCTCTTTCAATTTTTCTTGATTCGGTGTTGTTTTTCCCATCTTTCCATGCTCTACTTGCATGTTAATTTGCTTTTGGGAGTAAGATCAAAATGATTAAAGTTGTTCTAGCAGATAAAAGTTTCCCTGTCCTTCATTTATCAAAAAATAAAATAAATAGTTTTAGATGAATCAAAAAAAAAAAAAAAAGGAAAAAAGAAAAAGAAGTTTCCCCGTCCTTTCAACTTCAGGTTTCACTCTAAAGGAGAGAGTTTACTTCTTAATCACCATGTCTTGTACAAGATAATATTATTCTTATCAGAATCCCCTTAAAACATAAACCACATTACATGGATGAATCATTTGACTAAAATATTTTTTATTTTCTGGATTGTTTTTGTTTGTTGATTCAATTTTAAAATATTCTGATAGCGGTGATCATTTTCTTTGCATCAGATTTTTGGATTTTTCCACCCCATACCAAATCCTGGTGTTCTATAACTTGCACAGAACTTTGGAAACTTCAAGGAAGCTGTTGGAAGTTTATAACTTGCGTCCCAAGTATGACATTTGTCATTAGGAGCCCATGCTCAGGCCAAGGGTATTCGGGCCTTGGGCGGGCAATGGGCCTAGGCTTAAACTCGGGCTTAGGTGGGCCTAAACAAATTTTTTTTTTCTATCAAAACTTTATTATTTTTCACTAAAAAATACGCTGTGCCTTGGGCGGGCCGGGTCACGGATAGGGCCTTTAGTGGGCTAATGGTCCGGGTCACGGGTTGGGTCAAGCAAGTCGGGCTGGGCTTCAAAATGATGGCCCAACCCCAAGACCAGGGACTCGGGCTGGGCTTGGGCCCAAATGAGCCTAAACGGACCAAGCCCAACCCAGGCTTCGGCGGGCTTTGGGCCGCAGGACATTTTTATACTCCTCTCAGGTCAATGCTTGTTTGCAAGAGCTTCATATGCTATTTTCTTTGTTCTCTTGCTAGGAGTTAACATCACAATCCCAGAACAAATTTGGCAGTGGGGGAAGGAAAACTAAAGACAGCGACAACAACCCTTCTTCAGGTTAGTCTTTCAGAACTAAGTCCTCCCTAGGTATTTCCATCATTATCATTCAACTTTATTGATTTGTTTCATTTTTAGTGCTTTGCCTCTTAAGTTTGCATTTTGTATACCTGCGTTAAGACTCAGATTTTTTGGGTTTGTTTGATTTTCTGATTTTATTTTGGATTGTTGAGTATTAATGATTTAGCATCACTGTAATGAAGATCAAATTTTTGGTTCTTGGTCTCTGGACCCTATTAGAGTTGTTTGGCCTATGCTCTTCTTTTGTTTTTCCTTATCACCCTTTGGTAGCCTACACCTACCATAGGTTCACTGAGATTGAAAACCATTGCAACCTTTTTTTGTCCTTGGCTTTTGAGTTGAAACCTGATGATAGTAGGGGTCATAGGCTTAAGAATGCCGGTGGAGCGCCTTTGATGCCATTTGATGACAGTGATATGCCATGGGACAGTTCCTCTCTCATCTCTCCCTTAAAATTGCTTAGCCCATTGGGGTCGTGTATATTGGCATAAGTAGAAATAGCACATATTTCTCTGATTTAGACTCAATGTTCCATATGGGACCTGGTATTTCTGCCCTCAAAATTGTCTCTGACTTAGTTTATGTTGAAACTAAAGATAATGGAGGGCAATGCTTGCTTTGTTTGTTGGGAAATACAATTTCGCCATCTTGGAACTGGAATGATGAGTTCTTAGACATGACAATCAGTGTCAATTCTTATCGCAATCATCATCCTGAACTATAGCAAGATGAGTAGGTATCTCTTGTTCTTTGGTACCCTCAAACCTTCAATTTAACAAAGAGAGAAACCTGGGGTGAAATGAGAAGTTTTACTTCGACAAAGTTCACATATATTCACAGTTGGGTAGTTACTCAAATATCAATTTAGTATTAAAAAGTTGAAATCAAGAAGTTGTGATCCATACCCATTAGAATGCCCCCAAAATACACACCTAACAGACTTATTATCCGATTTAATTTGAGTAGGACTGTGGTCATGGACAAAACAAGTACAACTAAACACCCGTGTCAAGAGAGAAAATATAGTACTATCAGGTTGAAGGACCTGGATGGAATAGTGCTAGACATGCAAGACATGGCTAGGTGTGCGGTTAATGAGGTAGACCACAGTAAGGCCCGTTGTGTGCCAATAAGACTTGGGAGTACTCATACCGCGAAGGAGAAACCTAACAACAAACATGGTATGACAGGTTTTTCGTTCTGCAATGCTATTTTGTTCATGAGTGCAAGGACAAGTGAACTGTTGAAGAATACCTAGCTAATTAAGATGGGAATGAAAGGCATTCGAGATGTACTCCCCACCATTATTAGACCGGATATTACGAATAACAGTGTGAAATTCGATTTTAACCATTTGGAGAAATTGAACAAATATGTAACGCCCTAAAAATAATAACATTAACCCATCAATATAGACATGCACTGATATATAAAAGTTCCACTTTCTTCTATTCATCAGAGTTCCATTACCAAAAGTATTACATGTTAACAACAAAAGCAAATGCCCTAAAGGCTTACAGCTTTCCAAGTTAATACTTGGTTACAACAAAAGAG